GGGCTAGGGGCACCCCAGGCAGCCGTGGAGTTGCTGTGTCTGGATCAGTGATCATCAGCGGGTAGATTGCAGTCTCCTGCCCTTTGCCTCCTGCCCCCTCAGGAGCCTCCTGCTTGCTGTGCAGGGCAGAGGAGGGAGAACAGGGGTGCTGATGTCACGGTGCCCCCTCTCCCACCCTGTATGTTATCTCTACAGAGCAGAGGGGGGGCACACCAGGACTAGGGCAGGAGTGAGTCTGCCTTAGCCCCACTGCACCAGCAACCAGGAGCCAGTCTCCTGCCCTTTGCCTCCTGCCCCCTCAGGAGCCTCCTGCTTGCTGTGCAGGGCAGAGGAGGGAGAACAGGGGTGCTGATGTCACGGTGCCCCCTCTCCCACCCTGTATGTTATCTCTACAGAGCAGAGGGGGGGCACACCAGGACTAGGGCAGGAGTGAGTCTGCCTTAGCCCCACTGCACCAGCAACCAGGAGCCACCTGAAGTAATCAGTGCCCAGCTGGAGCCCACATCCCCAAACCCTACCCCAGCCATGAACTCCCTCCTGCACCCCAACCCCCTGCCCTAGCCCCGAGCACCCTGCATCCAAACGCCCTCGCAGAGCCTGTACCTAGACTCTCCTGTGGCACCTAAACTGCTTGCCCCAAGCTCAGCTCAGAGCCCCTCTCGCACTCCAAGTCCCTTAATCCAAGACCAGAGCCTGCACCCCAACTCACTGCCCCTGCCTGGAGAAAGGGAGGAAGATGGGGGAGGAAGGGAGGATGGAGTGAGCAGGGGCGGGGCCTCAGAGAAGGGGCAGGAAGGAGGTGGGGCCAGGGTATTTGGGTTTGAGGGGGATCCTGGATTGCACTTAAATTCAAAGAGTGATCTCATGCTTAAAAAGGTTGGAGGCCCCTGCTCTAGATGGTCTCCGGGCCAGACTAGGGGCCTTTCTGGGAGATGCTTTGGCCAGTCGCAAGCACTTGTGCTCAGCACAGGGAGACAAGGGTGAAACTTTCTGCACTCAGGGAGAAAAATGTGTAGGTGCTCTGTACCTCTGGCAGCCAAGCCACCCCCAGTGCCTCTCACCCACTGGCACCCCCCGATCAACTCCTCTCCCTCCCTCCTCACTGCCTTTCAGAGCGCCCACAGCTGCAGCCAGGGCCGGCCCACAACATTGTGGCACCTGAGGCGGGGAGCTCAAATGACGCTCCCATAGCCCCTCGCTTCGGCCAAAACTTTGAAAGGTCTCAGTTCTGCCTTCTTCCCGTTCTACTCCTCTCGTGGGACTGCTCTGTTGCCTACATATGCACCAGCAGCACACAGAATTTTCTACACTCTGGGTCCTAGTGGTACCCGCCCCCCTCCCCAGTCTGATACCTGAGGCCTGAGGTCGGCTCATGGTAAGGCCAGCCCTGGCTGCAGCATGTGTTTCTCCTGGGGGTAGCAGTCACTAATTCCTTGGAGCTAGAAGACTGGATCCCTCAAGGTTGGTGGAAATCCCAGTCATGGGAGTCGTCTTCTCGGTATCCCAGTGTCGAAGCAAAAACACGCTCTTCTGTGTTTAGGCAGCTAACAAACAGCTTTATTAATTAATAAAGCACAGCATGAGCTAAACGTGGTCACAGCAGAGCCGGGCCTAGTAAGGCTGCTAATACAATCAATCTTAGTATCTTTATACCCTTAGCCAAACAGTCTGACGTCAGGGCATCTAATTACAGAAATCTTCAATTAAATTTGGAAAAACAAAGCTTTATCAATAAGATGGCGGACAGGTACGAGGGAGTACATCTCTTGTCTTAACTAGCTTAACACGGGGTGACAGAAAGTTCACTCTGGTCTACGTGCTTGAGAGAAAAGCTGAAATGGTTTCTGATATACAAGATGGCTTCTAGCTACATATGAAAATGGTTTCTACAGCTTCTACAACTCCCCCCTTTTAGCCTTTTAAAGGCTAACCTTGAAACTATTTTATACCTCCATTTTTCATTAAAGTATTTATGTACATTTCTTGTTCCTTTCTCTGCTCATCTTATTTTAACATCATGAGTTCTACATTCCCTTTTGCAAGGGTCTGTCTTGTGTTTTCCAGAATACAAGAAATACAGCATTTGATTAACAAGAAACAGCAATAAGCACAAAAGAATATAGCCAATACTAAAACTACTCTTTGCAAAATCTAAGTTCCTCTATGTCTAAACCAGCCTCCCAACCAATCCCAGAGGGTCCAGTCTTCCCTCTGTCTTAGGCGTTCCACAGTTCTTTCAATCTCTGAGGCATCTTCTTCTACTTCTTTGCTGGTGTCAGAAATATACCTACAGCATTCTCTTCTTACTAAGGCACAAACCCTGCTTTTACTAGCTAGGACATAGTCTAGGGCCATCGGTTTGGGCTTTTTTTTTTTCTCACCTTGGCTCCTGAACCATTACATGTCCAGCAGTACTTTCCAACTGGGGCCAAGGCTAGGCGGATATACCTTGGGTTAGTAAACTTTTTATCCTGCCAAGTATCATTTGGCTTAGTTCACTAAACAGTGTGCCATTCATTTGAGTGTTGTTTAGTGGGACTGGAATCATTGGGATGCCTCCTTCTGAATGTACTGGACTGTGAGCACATATCTAGCAACCTGTGGAATTAAATTCTTGGGAAACTTGATTCATTAAAAGCATAAACACATTTGAACTATATAGGTTATAACTGCTAGTTTTAAAAACAAGATTAAGCATAAGCTCAACATGAATTGTTTGTCCAGCCTCATGCTGGCTGTTCTTCAGGACTTCGTAGTTTGCTTCACCTATCGCTGGCAGGTTCTTCTGGGCCGCAGCTGGTACCTTAGCCTTGGTCTCTCTCAGGCTCGTCTGCTTCTGGGCCTGGATTGCCGGTCCCAAGCCTGCGCTGATCCTCGTCTACTTCTGGACCTGGGTTTCTGGTACTAGGTCTGTGGTGATTCCTATCTGCTTCCGGACCTGGGTCTCTGGTACCAGGTCTGTGGTGCTCCTTGTTGGGGCCAACTTCTGTAGGGGCCGGAATGGGTTTGCAGTGGGATGCGTGAATCCAGGTGGGCAATCCTTCGCACTTTCTAGCAGTATGGGTGGTCAAAAGGACTTGGTAGGGACACTTTCACCTGGATTCCAGGGCAGTCTTCCGCTGGTGAACTTTCACGCAAACCCAGTCTCCTGGTTGTAGTTTATGGCACGGCTCA